TCGCTAGAGTTAAGTGATTGAAGTTCCTAGCCAAATCTCCAAATTCTCAAGCAATTCCTCTGTTTGAAGTCACTTCTCCCTCTCTCTCTCTCTCTTTTTACTCAAGCAAGAGGAAATGAGAGTACAAAAGTCTACCTAGGATATTAAGGTGGCCTTAAATAGGCTTGATTAAAGAAATTAATTAATTAGCTTACCACTAATCTAATGAGCATTAATTTATTCTAATTTAATTGTTCTGAACTAAATTTTAATTAAACCTACCATAGAGTTCCAAAAATTTCAACTAACACATAATTCAAGTCAATTTCGCGATCGAATGCTGATAAGGCTTTCAATTTACAGTACAAAACAGAAAAAGAAACATATATTCCTACGATAGATAGATAGAAACTCATATAGCACATAACACATGCAATTAACTCAGGGATTTTATCTTGATTATATTAGGCATAATTAATCATGGTTAATCAGTTAATCACAGGTCGGGGTTGTTACATTTCTACTCTCTAAGGACTTCTCTTGAGATTCTTCCCATACAATTGGCCATCGAATTTCGCATAGTATTAGCATATCATCTTCCAAGCCTCAAGTTACTTCTTCATCCATTCTATTCTTAATTATTTATAATTTACCCCCTTTTAAGTTCTACCATCTCATTCTACGACACCCACTATCCTTCCTAACTTGGTATTGCCCTTTAATGCATAAATCTAGTATCAAAATCCCATGTTGAGACATCAGGCTCTCTCTAGAATTACCTTACAATAACTGCAATTTAGACACTTTACTTTTTTTACTAGAAGTAATCTATCTGGCTCCTATTTGACCCACTCTTAAAGGTTATAAGATGTTTATCTCTTTTCTTATACATGTTATTGGCCATTACCAAGTCAAAAGTCAAATCAAAATCCAAAATACTCTCTCCAGCCTCATTTTTATCACCAAAATCATATCTGTCATGCACCCTCTCATGATCTAATTTATCTACTTCCACATGGCCATTGAAATCTCCACCTATAACATGGTTCTCTTCTACAGGTATCTCATGTAATACCTCATCCATTTGGTTCCAAAATTCTCTCTTAGTATGATCATCTAATCACACTTGAAGGACGTATGCACTAATAACATTTACTATATTTTCTCCAATAACTAATTTAACTAACATAACCTTATCACATTTCCTGATAATCGTTACTACATTTTCTACAAAATGGTAAAAGAACTATTTTGAGAAGTTGTTATATGAGGAACATGTAGGAAGCTCAAAAAGGGAGGAAGTTATAGGTAATATGGAAAATTAAGACTATAGATTAATCTTATTTACAAAATTGATTGTCAGAATCAAACATTCCAAAATATTAAATTGATTATCGGAGAGGAAAAAACTATCTCATTTATTTAGTCCTCCATATTATAATAATTAATTACACTAAGAAATATGAGCATGTATGAGAGTTTTTGTTTTATTTATTTATTATAGGCTATATCATGAGAAAACCAGTCATTCCTATGATAAGATTTGAACTCTTTACCTGAACTTCCTACAGACGTACACGAGTCATGATCAATTAGATTAGTATCAGTTGGTTTAGCTTTTAATATTCGATTAGCTTAAAATTTGATGCCCATGATTGGCATAAAAGAAACTTAGCAGTCAAACTTCGAAAAAAAAAAAAAATTATAAAAAAAAGAAGATATATATCAATTATGACATATAAGTTGATTTTGGCACAATAATACTCATTATCTATGAAATTTTCAAACAACTACAAACTAGTAAACGCATACTCAAGGCTTGAGAAATATGATTCACAAACTAAAACGTTTGCAAAATGAAAATGTCATAAAAACATTACAACAAACTCTTCAGTCGCATTGTTAAATTACAAGCAAACCAACAATCCTACCAGAGTCTCAGGCTCGAGAGTTCTTCCATGCCCCTGTATCTCGTTGAAATCAAAACTTTCGAGCCTTCAGTTTCCATTTTCTAGACCGGAAACGAATGACAACTTACAAGGAGGATCAAAATGAAGCTGCCATTGCATGACAATGTGATATGCTCTCTGTTGTACGGATCATAAAAATAATAAAGTAAAATAATTAGACTCAAATTTCTAACATCTGAATTCAAAATTAAATTTGAAGCATGCTTGTGGCTCATTTACTCGAAAAGTCTTTATTAGTTTTTCAATTTCAAGAGTGATTGAGGCCTTCATCAGATTCCTCAGAGGGTTTCAAAAACCATCGGCCAAGGCGTTCAGATGCCTTATTCACCTGTGACACAAAGATCAAAAAAATTAATTTAATTTTCTTTTTAATCTAAGTACAAAAACTAAGTTCATTCTTAATTTGTTTTCACAATTTAATTGTACTTGTTTTCATTTACCTGTTCATCCCAATCGGTTCTCCATACCATGAAGGATAGTGCAATAACTTGCATTACCACCCCAGCGGTCATTCCTATCCATAATCCCTACATGAAAAATATGGAACCCAAGTCATAGAATTTTCACTTGTAATGTTAGCAAACATACTAAATTAAGCCCGGTTATTTTACCTTAACTTCAAGATCAGCCACGTATGCAAGCAATACTCCAATCGGAATCCCAATCACATAAAAGCAACAAAGGTTAATACCAGCGACTATGCTTTGCAAACCAGCACCAACCGCGACCCCTGCTAGCACGATTCAACAGTTAAATCTTTTCAATCGTTGGTAATATGGTTTTTTATATTTTCAAAAGCGGAATTATCCAAAAAAAAAGAGTCGCTTGCCTGTGAGTACTGGTTGAATGCTATTTAACAACATGGTGAAAGCTAGAAGGACAGATAGGTCAGAAACAGTTGCTGCAACTTCCTCGTTGCTTGTAAACAAGTACGCTATGTCATGACCGAAGACTAAACAAAGAACGAAGAAGATTAATCCGAGCAGAACAGAAGTACACAATATAACTTTAATTGAAAACTTTGCTGCTTTAGCATCTCCTCTTCCCAATTCGTTCGCTACCCGCACACTATTTTTCCAAAGATGACAAATCAAAAATCAAAAATCAAACAAGGATAAGATAGTAAAATAAATAAATAATTAAGTAATTAGGGCATACCATGCAGCGCCGAGAAAGCCAAGGCACAACATAAATTCCCAAGCGCTGATATTAAGGCTGCAAAAGTCGTGGAATTAGGAGGACCAATATTTGTGGTTAAGTGAAGAGCGAAAAGAAACAAAAATATAGAACGATCCATACCAAATCGAGAAGGCAGAAATGGCAACCTCTGCGTTTGACATATATCCCGCCACTAGAATTAAAACAGAATTGTACCATAACTCTAGGCTATAAAATAAAAAAACAAAACAAAACAAAATCAACGAAAAAGTGGACTAGGGAAATTTCACTATAGAAGAATGACAAAGCGATATTTAGAGCTAAAAGGAAACAAATAGATGGTTTTTCTTATTTTCTTATCTTCTTCCCCCTTGCAATACCAAAAATAAAATAAAAAAATATTTTAGATTTTGTTGATATCGCTAGTTTTTTTTTATACCATTGCAATCTAAGCTACAAAAAAAAGTGCAATGGTATCTCTTATATACAAGTTTCTGTTTTCTCTAGGTCTTGACGGCAAGAATTTATTGAATGCATCGTTTGGGCTTATAATAAATTAAAAGTTGCTCTTGCTACTTAGCCTAGACCCTTGAGCATCATTGTATATGGACGTATTGTAAGAGTAATTCATTACCTTCCGAGTGGAATTGCCACCAGACCGTTTATCTTTGTTAATGTACCACTAAACCTAACCCACTACACCCACTCAACTCCACTAAACCTAACCCACTCTACCTACCACCTCCACTTCACCCCCTACCAGCACCACCACAATCTGCTACCTTCTCTTCTATATATAGGAGTTGTAATCAATATACACAAATCAATATTGTAATATACACAACAATCTTGTAATCAATCAATAAATTAATCAATAATACATAAATTCTTACATGGTATCAGAGCTATAGGTTAAAGATCTTGGTATTCTTCGCCTTCCGGCGGGCGGCAACCTTGCCTTGACCGCCCGCCGGATCTCAACAAATTCTAAGCTCCCTCTCCCTCTCCCTCTCGGCACCTCACTGCCACAGACACCACCGGTGCCGTACCTGTTCGGGGGGCTGGCGGCGATGCTGGGTCTCATTGCTTTCGCCCTTCTCATCCTCGCTTGCTCCTACTGGAAGCTCTCAGGCTACCTCGACCGCGACAACGACGACGCCAACTCCGACGACAGAGACGTCGAGCTCGGCGCCGATGCCGATTCCGGGGAGAAACCTAAATTGGCGCCGCTCTTTGAAGAGAAATATCTGGTGATAATGGCCGGACAAGCCAAGCCAACGTTCTTGGCCACACCCATCTCCAGCAGTATATTTTCTCCAATAACTAATTTAACTAACATAACCTTATCACATTTCCTGATAATCGTTACTACATTTTCTACAAAATGGTAAAAGAACTATTTTGAGAAGTTGTTATATGAGGAACATGTAGGAAGCTCAAAAAGGGAGGAAGTTATAGGTAATATGGAAAATTAAGACTATAGGTTAATCTTATTTACAAAATTGATTGTCAGAATCAAACATTCCAAAATATTAAATTGATTATCGGAGAGGAAAAAACTATCTCATTTATTTAGTCCTCCATATTATAATAATTAATTACACTAAGAAATATGAGCATGTATGAGAGTTTTTGTTTTATTTATTTATTATAGGCTATATCATGAGAAAACCAGTCATTCCTATGATAAGATTTGAACTCTTTACCTGAACTTCCTACAGACGTACACGAGTCATGATCAATTAGATTAGTATCAGTTGGTTTAGCTTTTAATATTCGATTAGCTTAAAATTTGATGCCCATGATTGGCATAAAAGAAACTTAGCAGTCAAACTTCGAAAAAAAAAAAAAATTATAAAAAAAAGAAGATATATATCAATTATGACATATAAGTTGATTTTGGCACAATAATACTCATTATCTATGAAATTTTCAAACAACTACAAACTAGTAAACGCATACTCAAGGCTTGAGAAATATGATTCACAAACTAAAACGTTTGCAAAATGAAAATGTCATAAAAACATTACAACAAACTCTTCAGTCGCATTGTTAAATTACAAGCAAACCAACAATCCTACCCGAGTCTCAGGCTCGAGAGTTCTTCCATGCCCCTGTATCTCGTTGAAATCAAAACTTTCTAGCCTTCAGTTTCCATTTTCTAGACTGGAAACGAATGACAACTTACAAGTAGGATCAAAATGAAGCTGCCATTGCATGACAATGTGATATGCTCACTGTTGTACGGATCATAAAAATAATAAAGTAAAATAATTAGACTCAAATTTCTAACATCTGAATTCAAAATTAAATTTGAAGTATGCTTGTGGTTCATTTACTCGAAAAGTCTTTATTAGTTTTTCAATTTCAAGAGTGATTGAGGCCTTCATCAGATTCCTCAGAGGGTTTCAAAAACCATCGGCCAAGGCGTTCAGATGCCTTATTCACCTGTGACACAATGATCAAAAGAATTAATTTAATTTTCTTTTTAATCTAAGTACAAAAACTAAGTTCATTCTTAATTTGTTTTCACAATTTAATTGTACTTGTTTTCATTTACCTGTTCATCCCAATCGGTTCTCCATACCATGAAGGATAGTGCAATAACTTGCATTACCACCCCAGCGGTCATTCCTATCCATAATCCCTACATGAAAAATATGGAACCCAAGGCATAGAATTTTCACTTGTAATGTTAGCAAACATAATTTTTTTTTGTATCATAGACCCATACTAAATTAAGCCCGGTTATTTTACCTTAACTTCAAGATCAGCCACGTATGCAAGCAATACTCCAATCGGAATCCCAATCACATAAAAGCAACAAAGGTTAATACCAGCGACTATGCTTTGCAAACCAGCACCAACCGCGACCCCTGCTAGCACGATTCAACAGTTAAATCTTTTCAATCGTTGGTAATATGGTTTTTTATATTTTCAAAAGCGGAATTATCCAAAAAAAAAGAGTCACTTGCCTGTGAGTACCGGTTGAATGCTATTTAACAACATGGTGAAAGCTAGAAGGACAGATAGATCAGAAACAGTTGCTGCAACTTCCTCGTTGCTTGTAAACAAGTACGCTATGTCATGACCGAAGATTAAACAAAGAACGAAGAAGATTAATCCGAGCAGAACAGAAGTACACAATATAACTTTAATTGAAAACTTTGCTGCTTTAGCATCTCCTCTTCCCAATTCGTTCGCTACCCGCACACTATTTTTCCAAAGATGACAAATCAAAAATCAAAAATCAAACAAGGATAAGATAGTAAAATAAATAAATAATTAAGTAATTAGGGCATACCATGCAGCACCGAGAAAGCCAAGGCACAACATAAATTCCCAAGCGCTGATATTAAGGCTGCAAAAGTCGTGGAATTAGGAGGACCAATATTTGTGGTTAAGTGAAAAGCGAAAAGAAACAAAAATATAGAACGATCCATACCAAATCGAGAAGGCAGAAATGGCAACCTCTGCGTTTGACATGTATCCCGCCACTAGAATTAAAACAGAATTGTACCATAACTCTAGGCTATAAAATAAAAAAACAGAACAAAACAAAATCAACGAAAAAGTGGACTAGCGAAATTTCACTATAGAAGAATGACAAAGCGATATTTAGAGCTAAAAGGAAACAAATAGATGGTTTTTCTTATTTTCTTATCTTCTTCCCACTTGCAATACCAAAAATAAAATAAAATAATATTTTAGATTTTTTTGATATCGCTAGTTTTTTTTGATACCATGTGCAATTTAGAGTTTGATTCTTTTGATGCTACATCTTGTAGTGTAATTCTAAATAAGCCATCTATTCTAATACTTATAAATTTTTCCTACTCGAGTAAATTTTCATTTTTTTTTTGTAGCTTAGATTGCAATGGTATCTCTTATATACAAGTTTGGGCTCATAATAAATTAAAAGTTGCTCTTGCTACTTAGCCTAGACCCTTGAGCATCATTGTATATGGACGTATTGTAAGAGTAATTCATTACCTTCTGGGTGGAATTGCCACCAGACCGTTTATCTTAGCAAGAACTATTGCAGTAGTATAATGAATGTGCATATATTAATTTAAGTAACTATATGAAAACATTTCAAATGATTTGAAAATGGATCGTTACCAAAGCATTATGCCTGAGGATACTGAGAGCTTTACAACAGGCCATAAATCAGAGAAGGCGGCAGTGGTGAATCCTTTCCATGAATGGGGGCACCAACCTCCAAAAAGATACACAAACTCTCCAAAAACCACTAACCAAGAAGATATGGCCAATGCACCCATCGCGCCAGGTATTCCCAAGTCTAGTATGCTCACAAAGATCCAAGACAACAGCACATGGATTGCAAATGAGGAAGTGCAGAGAACCGCCACAACCATGTTCTTCAATTGCGCTTGTAGGTACATTTGGATGGTCAAAGCAAAGACAAAGCTATAGAGAAAGGCAATAAACCATAGGGCTATATTCTTGGATGTTTTTGCTATAGCTTCTTCTTCACCAAGTAGACGAAAAATGGGCGTTGTGAAGATGAAGAAAGGAAGCAAGATTGTTGCAGTAATGAAATTGACAATCCATGATCGTTGCAAGTATATACCCATCATGTGGTGTTGCCCTGCTCCAAATGCTTGGCCACATAGGGTTTCAGTTGCGCTGGACATTCCCAACTGCAACAAGAATAACTAAAAAATTATTGGAAAATAGAAAGGATAGAGTCTTAGAATATGTTACATGAGCTAACTTTCATCTCCATTAGCATAAATTTTTTCAAGCCCTATTTTCTAATGTGTGGTATTCTTATTCAAAGGCTACAAATAAAATGTGATCGTAAATACAATATAATGACTTATATATGCAAATGCACAAACCTAGCTATGGGATTGTCAAAATGCACTATAATAGCACGGAATTAAAAAGGAACATGCTATTAATTTAGGGGGATGCACCAATAAATCCCAAATTAATAACTTATACACTGTTTAGTCCTAAAAGTTTAAATGTGATCGTAAATACAATATAATGACTTATATATGCAAATGCACAAACCTAGCTATGGGATTGTCAAAATGCACTATAATAGCACGGAATTAAAAAGGAACATGCTATTAATTTATAGGTTAATGATGGTGAGATAAAAGAGGCTAACGAAGTAATTTCATGAGGATAAGAAAGGGAAAAAAGTTAAGTTCATTGCCTCAGAAGAGCATCTTCAACGATGTATCAAGTTTTTCAATAAATTTAAGTAAAAATTTGAGTGAAAGATCCATTTGATATCAAGTGCACCAATGGAGTCTTTTGAAGCTTTATCAAAACACTGGTCGACTGAGCAGATTTCCGGCTAGTCGACCAGTCAGTGTAAAATTTTCACAAATTTTTGCCTTGAGGTGTTCATTGGGGGGGTCAACCGGGCAAATGTCCCGGCGGTCAACCGACCAATGTAAATTTTTCACAAATTTTAGCCTTGAGGTGGTCATTTTGGGGGACATCTGGTGGTGAAAATCTAACGGTTATAAACAGTGATTTGATAAAAGGCACATCCATCTTCAATTTGCTGAAAGATTTGAGAAATCTTGGATTTGATAAAAGATTTGGTAAACTATGGGAGCAGAGTTTTTTCATCAAATTTAAATTTGATGAAACATTTGATGAACCGTTGGAGATGGTCTAACTTAGTTAAATTTATTGTTAAGGAAGGAAAGGTTAATGTAGATATGCCAAAACTATAAGATTATCTATATTTTCTTCAAACCTCACAAAATGAAGTTAGTCTAATTTAGGGGTCATTTGGGAATATGATTTTTTGTCTAAAAAATCCAAAAAGTTAAAAATAAAGAAATTCAAAAAGTAAAAAACATGTAAAAAAGCAAATCATACAAACCAGTAAGTCATTCATTATATACTGAAAAAGGTCATTCTCAAATACCTTAACTTTTTTTCATTAAGTCGAAAGGCCACTAAAAAGGTCAACTCTCAAACGATCACTTAACCTATAAATTTGGATAAATTACATTGATCTCCCTTGAAATTTGAAAAAAATGTAACAAGTCCCACAAATTCTTGCATAATTACATTGAACTCTCTTGAAATTTTAATTTATATAACACTTAAGCCCCCCCTCCCCCCCAACCCCCCTTTTTATTTATTTATTTATATATTTTTATCAATAACGCATTAGTTAGATGGATAGAAAAATGATATTATTGTTATCTCTTTTATAATGAAATATATTTTTTTTTTCTTATTTGTCTTTATGTTTTCACACCATCTACGTTAGTCCTAATCAATTTAGTCTCACTGAAAAAGAGGTCAAGTATAATTATGCAAAAATTATAGTGCTTGTTGTAATTTTTTTTCAAACTTCAAGGGAGGACAATGTAATTTAGCCTATAAATTATGACAATTTTACCATTGACAATTAATGACAAATTAAATTAAAATAAATTAAAAAGGAGAGGGGCTTACAAGTATGCCATTGGAAAAACGAACAATAAGAGTTTGGACAAGAGCATAGGCAGCAAGATCAAGTTCACTAATGTGTCCCATGAAAGATTGAGTAATGACCAGTGTTCCAAATGAACTAACTCTTGCTAATATCCCTGGAAATGCTACCCTCCATATCTTTCTTGATTCGACCCATACCCCTTTTTTCAAATCACCACCACCACCACCACCACAATCTCCTCCTTCTGTTGATGTCAATAACCTCTCTTCTATCTTGTTATTACCATCCATATTTCTGCAAAACATAATATAAAGATTAGTCAAAATGTATCAGTTGTTAGATTAATGTAGCTTAAATTTTTACAAGAGTAATATCAATCAACTGGGTTATTTCAGTTGGTCACTCCTATATATTCGGAAGGTTAAGAGGTCAATTGTATTATATTGTTCATTTGTTTTCATTATTTTTTATTTTTATTTTTATTTTTTTTCCCTTTCTATTGTGAACTATTGATCGTGATGGTTGTTGGGTTATTGGACTATGATTGTCCATATTGATTTAATTTCTTTTATATTTATAATTAATCTTTTATTAATTGGCAAAAATAAAAATAAAAACATAAAAGTGGTAATGATCACATTTGAATATTTGATGTGGCATTTTACATGACATTAATCATATTATCTGATAAATTTCCATGAGTCATGCTTTCACCTACAGTGGTCATGCCTCTCCTAATTTTTAAAACCCATGCCAAGAAATGCATAATAGTAAGGACAATTCACTGTATAACATCATCAAAACTCAACCCCCTCCTCTAGGGTGAGGGCTTCCTCTTTGCTCTACTCACCTCCTCTATTTGCTTAACATTTTTCTGTCATTTAAGGCATGAAAGAGGTGAATTAGACCAAAAGGGCAGCCCTCGAAAGGGGAGGACAGAGTAATGTGGTAACAAAAGTCATAAGGTACAATAAGATATAATTTATCAGAGTAAAAATTCTCTCATACTCTATCTTTCTTAAAAATGTACAAAACCTTTAATGTTATAAAATTTCTCTCTATATATAAAGTACCAAAATTGTAGAAAGACCGTTGAGTTTTATTGCCATAGATTTCAAATGCCAAAAATTGTCTTGAAAAATCTCAAAAAATTAAAATTAAGAAAATTGATGTCAGTTTTTCAACCTAGGTAGTGCTCTACCTTATCCCCATTTATATAAATATATTTAATATGTAACTTTTTCTTCTCTTTTTTTACATATATTAATTATTAAAAATAAATAAATAAATAAATAAAAAGATCTATGATATACATAACATGTTAAGATGAATGCAAACTTAAACCACACTAAACTAACCATTTACTATTTTATATATATATATATATATATATAGGGATTTTTATTGATAAATCCCATTTAGAAGTGTTTTAACTCAAGAAGTTCATGAAGGAATTTTTTAACTTATTTAGTCCATTGTATGTATAGTTTTATTCCACAAAATCATTTTTCTTGATTTACACTATTTTCTTGGACACTTATGCCCTTATATTTAATTTTGATACCCTTATAAATATTTTTTGAACGGTTAGCAATTTTATGATGTGAACATTCATATTTTAAAATTCACATTGATAGGAGTGTAAAATTGGCCCGTGGGCGGCCCAAAACCCGCCCGCGAGCCAGGGCGGGCTCCGCCGTTGACAATGTGAATATTCATAATGACATGCTAACATTTACATTAATAGGAGTGTAAAATTGGCCCGCGTCCCGAGGCGGCGTGAAACCCGCCCGCGACCCATGGGTGGTCCGGGACGGGCCCAGTCCGGCCTGTTGACAATATGAATATTCACATTGACATGTTAACATTTACATTGATAAGAGTATAAAATTGGCCCGTGACCCATGGGCGGCCAAAAGCCTGCCCGCCGCCCGGGATGGCTCCGGCCCGGCCCATTGACAATGTGAATATTCACATTGACATGTTAACATTCACATTGATAGGAGTGTAAAATTAGCTCGCGCCCCGTGGCTGTCCGATACCCGCCCACGGCCCGGGACAGGCCCGGCCCAGCCCGTTGACAATGTGAATATTCACATTGACATGTTAACATTCACATTGATAAGAGTATAAAATTGGCCAGCGGCCTAGGGTGAGCCTGACCTCGCCCATTGATAATGTGAATATTCACATTGACATGTTAACATTTACATCGATAAGAGTATAAAATTGGCCTGCAGCCCGTAGGCGGCCCGAAGCCCGACCGTAGCCCGAGGCGGGCTTGGCCCGACCCGTGACAATGTGAATATTCACATTGACATGTTAACATTAACATTGATGGGAGTGTAAAATTTGCCCACTTCCCACAGCTCGCCTGCGGCCCAGGGTAGGCCTGGCCCGGTCCGTTGACAATGTTATTTACATTGACATGTTAACATGCACATTGATAGGAATGTAGAATTGGCCCGCGGCCCGTAGGCTGCCCGAAGCCCGCCCACAGCCCGGGGCTGACTCGTTTGGGTCCGGACCCGAGCATGTCCGAGACCCTAGGTTAGGGCCTAAGCCATCACTTTGAAGCCCGGCCCGGCCCATCGGCCCGCTTAAAGCCCATTCAAGGCTCGGTTCGAGGCCCAGCCCGCTCGAGGCGCAATGTCTTTTTTTGTGAAAAATAATAAAATTTTGGTAGAAAAAATTAAAAAGAATTAAAAAAAATGGCGAGGCCCGCCTAAGCCCGACCTAAGCTCGAGGCTAGGCCCAGGCCCATCGGCCCGACCCAAGGCTCGATCCATCGGCCTGTCCAAACCCCGAATACCCTTGTGCCAGGGCTAGGGCCTAGGCCTAATTTTTTGGCCCGTGGACCGGCCCGGTCCGACTCGGATTTTTTCGGACACCCACGAGGCTCGATATGGGCCGGCCCGGGCTTCTATGCATTGATGATATGAACATTCACATTGACGATGTGAACATTCACATTATGGGTATTTTGGTAATTATGTCTCCCATAGGACTAATTAAAACATAAGAAAATAATGTGGACTAAATAGAATATAAGTAGATGAAAATGGTATTTTGGCCTTCTTACCTAAAATAGAACTTAATGGAATAGTCAAAAAGAGCATAGGCTGCCCGAAACCTGCCTGTGGCCGGGGAAAGGCTCGTTTGAGCCCGGGCTCAAGCCTAGTCCAAGACCCTAGGCAAGGGCCTGGACCATCACTTTGAAGCCCAGCCCGGTCCATCGGCCCGGTTAAGGCCCATTCAAGGCTCGGTCTGAGGCTCGGCTCGCGCCGAGGCCTAGTGTCTTTTTTTTATGGAAAATAATAAAAATTGGGTAGAAAAAATTTTAAAAAATTAAAAAAAAAAAACCAAGCCCACCCAAGCCCGACCCAAGCTTGAGGCTAGGCCCAGGCCCATCGGCCCGACCCAAGTCTCGCCCCACTGGCCCGCCCAAAGTCAGAATATCCCTGTGCCAGGGCTAGGACCTGGGCTTAATTTTTTGGCCCGTGGGCCAGCCCGGCCGGCCCGACCCGAATTTTTTTGGACACCCACAAGACTCGACATGGGCCGGGCCCCTACACATTGACGATATGAACATTCACATTGACAGTATGGACATTCACATTGACGGTGTGAACATTCACATTAGGGGTATTTTGGTAATTAAGAAAATAATGTGGACTACATAGAATATAAGTAGATGAAAAGGATATTTTGGTCTTCTTATCTCAAATAAGACCTAATGGAACAGTCAAAAAAAACGTGGGCTGCCCGAAGCCCGCCCGCGGCCCAAGGCAGGCTCGTTTGAACCCGGGCACGAGCCCAGTCTGAGACCCTAGGCTAGGGCCTAGGCCATCACTTTGAAGCTCGGCCTGGCCCATCGGTCCGCTTAAGGCCTATTCAAGGCTCGGTCCGAGGCCCGGCCCGCTCGAGGCATAGTGTCTTTTTTTGTGAAAAATAATAAAATTTTGCTAGAAAAAATTAAAAAGAATTAAAAAAAAGGGCCAAGCCCGCCCAAGCCCGAGGTTAGGCCCAGGCCCACCGGCCCGACCCAAGGCTCAACCCACCGGCCCACCCAAAGTCCGAATAACCCTGTGCCAAGGCTTGGGCCTGGGCCTAATTTTTTAGCCCGTGGGTCGGCCCGGCCCGACTCGAATTTTTCTAGGCACCCACGAGGATCGACATAGACCGAGCCCCTACACATTGACGATATGAACATTCACATTGACGGTGTGAACATTCACATTAGGGGTATTTTGGTAATTATGTCACCCATAGGACTTATTGAAACATAAGAAAATAATGTAAACTAAATGGAATATAAGTAGATGAAAAGGGTATTTTGGTATTCTTATCTCAAATAGGACCTAATGAAATAGTCAAAAAAAATATGGGTTGGATGGAATAAAACTCTTAATGAGTGGATTTATCAAAAAAACTCTCATATATATATATATATATATGTAAATTATTTATTTTAATTTTATTATAGTCAGGCCGGGCTTCCGCTAGCATTACATCCTCTATATTGGGGCAGTTAAGGGCTACCCTGTAACCTCTGCATGAATATTTAGGGTTGCTTTGCTCGATGACTACAGTTGAGGTTCATTGAGGTGCTCATCCCATCCTCCTCAAGGGGACTTGCACCTTAGTCATCATAAAGAGAAACAGGGCCGGCCTTGAGTTCGTCGGGGGCCTAAGGCGAATTTTGGAAATGGAGTCCTTTTATATTGAAAAAAAATTCATAAATAAAATGATAAGTTACAGTTTTTTTTATTTTTTTGTAACTATAAAAAAATTTACTTACACATATAATCATTAAAATTCTAAATAAAACAATTTAATAAAACAAAATTAGAACAAAAAAATTAGGAAAAAATTATTCAATTAAAATTGATAAAGACCTAGGTAAAAAAATTTGAGCAAAATTATTTATTCTACTAAAATCTAATAGATAAAGAAGGTAAAAATAAAAAATAAAAAAAATAGGGCCCATATATTGTCTGTATTATTTTTCTTGAGCCCAAACACTTTTTTTTTAATATATATTTTCATTTTAATAAATATGGACCAAACTAATTGGCAGGGAGGATATAGAGTAAATCATACATGGACCCAAAAAAATATTTTGGGGCCCTTTAAATTGATCTTAAAACCAAAAAAAAAAAAAAAAAACATTGAGCCTATAATATTTTACAAATTTAGGGGCTTCTATTTTTGGGCCAAATTTAGGAACCCAATGTTATATATGTTTATATGTTTTACCAAATTTAGGGGCCTTAATTGTTTTTATTTATTTATTTTATATATTTCATTTAAAAATATGGGCCAACACATTTATAAATAAATATGAGCTAAATTAATACATGGGTCCAATAAAACATTTGGGCGCCTTTAAATTTGATCTTAAAACTAAAAATAAAAAAAAAAGTTGAACCTATAACAATTTTTTAAATTTGAAAACTCTATTTTTGAGCCAAAATATGAGACCTAAGGCACAAGCCTTAGGAGGGCCCGTCCTGAAGAGAAAGGCCTCCACAAGAAAACACATGGCAGATTTGCACTAGGGAGATGCTAGAGAGCTCTAAATCTAGAGCTCTAATTTGAGCTCTAGTGATGTGTCCAAGCAATAAAAAAAAAAAAAAAAAACAAGGCAAGGCACAAACATCACATCAGAGTGGATCCCACATTCCCATTAAAGCTATTAGAGCTCCTATATTAGAGCTCTAAAGCATTTTTGTTTGCACTACCCTACTTTATATAGTGTAAACTAACCACTCTTCTAACCAAAAGCAGAAACATTCAGACCAAAAAAAAAACAAAAACAAAAAATATTAAAATAGCCGAGGCCAGACTGAGGTTAGTGACAGCAAGAAAATAAAATAAAATAAATAAAGAAAATAAAAGAAGAAGAGACCAAGAGAGGGAATGGTTGTTGAGTGTTTCTCTGTTCTTGCTTTGTTTTTTTAAATTTGTTTTTCATGTTTTCATAAGGTAACGTACATTTCTGAACGTACAAAAAATTTTAAAAAAAAAAAAAAAAACAAAAGAAGAAGAAGAAGAAGAAGAATAAGAAGAAGAAGAAAAAGAAACAAAATGAAAGAAAACAAAAAACCAAACGGTCCTCCCAACTCAAACCTGACCCTAAACTGGTTGGTTGGAATTCTAAAGATCCTAAACAAAAAATAAATAAATAACCAGAAAAACAAAATTTGTTCTTCTTTCCTTTATATAGGCGAAATTAACAAATACAATTAGCTAATGTTTGATTCATTAAAATAAACGATCATTCTATTGAAATATTCATACTCATATTTTATAATAACAACAATAATGTACATTTCAAATGGAATAATTATTAACTAATTTAGAAAAAATGATGCTTCCATTGGGAGGCCAAGAAAAAATAATTCTATTTCAAAATCATTCCTGTGGCTGTGAGCCAAACACCATGTTAGGATATGTCAAACATGACCAAGTCCTAGTTGATGTTAGGTGCCGGCGACATTTTAGGAGTAATTAATGTTATATAAGGAGTGTTTTGGGAAATTGGTAAAAAATAAGTTTTTGAATTTTTACTAAGTTTTTTAACTTTTTGGAAAGTGATTTGGAAAGTTGATAACAAGCTGACTTTTGGCTTTTTGATTTAATATTTGTTTATGGTGTCAAATCAAATTAAAATGACCAAAATACCCTTACCTAACATAAGAAATTTATTTTTTCACTTTTTTGTCATAACCCCAATTTGTAATTTTATCACTTGCGTTTTCATCTCTTCCCAAATGAATTTTGTTGCGTTTTTGGCTGCCAACTTTTTTCCCCTTTGATAAAAAATGTGGCTTTTTACTTGACTTCCCAAAATGGCACTAAATAAAATTTATGGACACAATCTTTTTAAGAAAATTATTAAGATCTGGAACAAAAAGATCATTCCAATGATTTTTTTTTTTTTTTGTCAATCAAGAAAAGAATAATTAATTATTCTTTATTATAAATATGAGAAAAAATTATATCAAATAACTCAATAAAAATAAACAATTAAGTTTTGTGCTTGACAAAAATTGATCCATCAATATTTTTCTGTTAGATAGAAACAGGGATAGAGCTAGATAGGGAGGCCAAACATTATGTGTATCGAACTCCAATTATATGCGTTCAAAAAAAAAACAAAAAAACCAACTCCAATTATAGATTCTACTTTGAAAATTGTAACGTATCAATAGTCAATATAAACAAAGACAAATCTAGGATCCTAATACCGGAGGGGCCATAGTTAGGGTGCAAGCTAGGTGGGTTGAATTGGGTTCAGAACTTACCCCGATCCAACTCCAGTAATGCTCGAAATTGTCCATGCTTGTCCAAACTCGACTTGCCAACCTAAGGTATTTAGTTCAAGTACTATTCAAACTCAATAAATTTAGCTTATGTAAGGCACGTGTCGCTTACAAAAGATTGAGTTGTGCAATTGAACTTAATTTTTTTAGACTTATTTTTTGCTAGAAAACAAGAATCTATTTTTTGGGTTGATTATAACTTGTTTGTAAACCAAAAAACTCATTCATAATTTCACAATCTAAAAGAGAAAGTTAAAAAAAAAAAATAAAATAAAATATTCATAAAGACATGTCTCTTAACTAAGAATCAAATAACAAATAATAACACTTCAAATGTCGCACAAAATAAATTCAATTGTTAAAGTAAGTTATATTTATAGTATTGATCCAACATACATTATATTCAATTCAATTTCTTTCAAACACGTGCCATATTGGGTTAAACATTTGCTCTTGAAGACATGAACCAGGAACCATTGAATGAGAAGGGGGCCATGCAAACAAAAATGTCTTCAGTGCTCTGTTTTAAACCAAAGCAAGTAGCAGGGTAGTCTCAAAGAGAGGGGAGGCACTGCCCTACACTATGGGGTCCGTCCCTGAATATAAACAAAGATATTTTAAATAAAAGGCAAAAATTGTCAAATCAAAACTAAATAGTTTTTTTTTTTCCCTTCAATTATATCTATCAAAGTTGAACATGCCGTTCTTTTTTATCACAAAATTCATCTATGATTGAACACAGTGATTACTTACACAAATTGGACATAATAATAATAAAACAATATGTTATCAATACATGTTTTTATAATGGTGATGAGAGACTTACTTTGGTTAGCTAGCCAGAGAGCCAAGCAATCTTTCTTGTATTGTGCCTCCTATTCCTATAACTTGACTTGCTTAAGTTCTCATGACTTGTGTGTGTGTGTTTGTGAGAGAGAGAGAGAGACAGAGAGAAGTAATTGGGTGTTGAAGATACTGATGGGACTTTGAGAGAATAGAGGTACTTATATAACCCTTTTTTTATTTAATAAAATTGTATTTTAATAGTTTGAAATGTTACTTTAGAAAAATAAAATAATATGTTGTCAAATGAAAAACATTGACTTAGGAAAAAAGTTGGGAAAATAGTAATTCAGTGTAAAAGTAAAAAAATAATTACACATCAATGGTAAACAAAATAAAATATTAATAATTAAAATTTTAAAAACTTTCACGTATTTGTAAATATTTTTTTTTAAAATCCCACTGAATTATAATTCTCCTTTTTACTGTCACAATGATTCAGTGATAGAATTAGAAAGGGGAAATTAGTTGCAGGTCATATTTGTAAAACATATTACAAATGTCGGAATTATGGTTTTTTATAAGCTTATTTTGAGCCAATTTTGAGTCCAAATTTTAGTAGGGTCCACACATCTTTTGGGATGGGTCCAAAGAGGTGACATATTCCTTGCCGCATGGTAAGTCATACGGTAAAATGAGTTCGTCAAAACCGTTTATGAGTGAATGAGAAATTGATTACGGTAAAAATGAGTTCGTCAAAACCGTTTATGAGTGAATGAGAAGTTGATTACGGTAAAAACGGGTTCGTCAAAACCGTTTATGAGTGAATGAGAAGTTGATGTCGTTTTCGGGTTCGTAGAATGGACAATTATAGAAGTAAAATGTGAGTTTTCTTGAAATGGTTGTCCCACATTGAAACTTTAAGAGAGCTTATGTGTGTATATAAGCTCTAGATAGACAAACTTAGGTTGGGCACCAAGGGGCACCCCAAGTTTGTAGAAGGAAGAAGTTATCAATAAAGTGGGCTTTGGCTCAAACCTACCGCGTGTCGCTGTCGTCCCTGTCCAGGTACGAGTTGTGGGTTGGGTCATAACATTAATTTTTTGGACAAAATTTATTTAAATTTTTTCAAACTCTTGCGGGAAAATTATTTGAATTTCTAAATAAAATTAATTCAAATTTTGCATCAAATTTAAATTCAAATTTTTTGTCCAAACAGTGCCTCTTCCAGTCTAAAATTTTCTTCCACATTTTCTAGCAGATCAAACAGATTTGAAAAAATAAACCTGTAAATGTTTAGTTTGAAGTTTGTATCTGTTCAATTTGAATTGTATCTGTTCGGTCCTTGATTAGATCTGTTCAATTCAAACTTGAACCTGTTCGGATATGCCAAATAGTCACCAATTTTCCTATAAATAGAAGACTTTTCTGGCAGATTTTCTGATTCAATTCTCTTCTCGGTTTTGCTCTCTTTTTGCATTATTCTTCATACTAGTTTTAGAGAAATTCTAAGAGTATAAAACACAAGTTTTGGTTCGCTGTACAGATTGTTTGGAATACTACTACAATCTGTGTATGATCATTGTATCCTGAGAGATAGACGCCATTTATCTATAAGCACCAGAGCAGAGCGAATCTATATTAAGAACAGAGTGTCATACACTCAACTTGATCATTATTTTTCATAAGTTGTTTTGGTAAAATTCTATAAGTAATTTTATTTTGTTTATTTGTTTCACATTATTTTCTCATGCACAAAAAATTGTTCCAACAACATATGTGCGGAAAAATTTATAATTATTTTTAAACTTATTCTCCCAATTAGAAAGGGTGAGTTGATGATGTCGGAGGCTTGTTTTTACTGTTTTCCTAATGTTGAAAAGGTTCTTTTCAATTATACTTTAAAAAATATTGATGAAAAAGTATTAAGTGCATGAATAGAAAATAAAGTGAAAAAAATTAAATGAAAAAAATGAAAAGACAATGAAGTGGGAAATTGTCAACAAAATAATAATAATAATTGTTATAATTGGATTTCCCCCATTAAAAGTATAAGTGTACATACATAAATAATTTTGTCCATTAACAACCGTCATAAATGTTGTTCTTAACATTTTACAAAATGAAAATGAAAAAGACAAAGAAAATAAATAAATAAATGGATTTATGAGAGAATTCATTATGGTTTGGTAGTTGAACCGACTTGGGGTTTGTGGATATATATCTACAAAAAGGGATGTGGAGGTTAGCAACAGTTGACTGGTTGGTGGTTGGTATCTACCTCATATCATATCATAGACTATACTCTGGTCTGGAGTCTCAGCACTCTCTCATGAAACCAAAGCCAAAAATAAAATAAAATAAAAAAACAATATTACATTTCACTAATTTATTACCATGAATTCTAATGAAGTGATATTGAAATTAAATTTTACATAATGAAAAATTTGACAAATCAAAATTTAATACTTATCAAACACATCATTAGAGGTGATTTTTAAAGGTGATAAATTAAATATCTCACATATTTATAAATTTAAAAAAAAAAAAAAAAAGCAAGGATAGTGGGGACCTTCCAAATTTCAGCACCACTAGTGGTTTGTGAGGAAATATTAGGAGAAAATACATATAAGAGGGTTTCAAACAAAAAAAAAAATACAAAAAAATAAATAAATATTATAAATATTAATAACTAAAATCATAATTTTTTTGAATAATTTCTAATAATTTTTGAAATTCTCCCCTAAATGGTAATTTTCCCAAATAATTATGGGTTCATGGTTTTGTAAAATTGATAGATGGATTTTCCCCTGAGGTGCGTTTAGATTTTCACTTTGCATAATTTAGATAGAGAAAACAAATGGTAAACTTGGGGATAGTGGTTCGGGGTGGTTAGGATTTGGGTTGACTCTACAATGCAATATAAATGCAAATCAAAGATCAAATTGAGAGATAGACGAAACAAATGCTCCAATTAGGGTAAACTCCTAAGGGCTAGAGAGATAAATCAAATTATTCCTATTACAATGTATATTCTTTAATAAAAAAATTAGGAACGATGATATTACATCACCTGTTTATATACTACAGCTAAGGCTCCGTTTAGGAAGTGAGTTTATTGGCTACTTTTAGTCAATAAAGACAAAAAAAAATGTTAAAATAACCAATAAAATAAAATGTTATATCCAAATCATAATCATTTTATTTTTATTTTTTTCTCACAATCATCAATTCAACTACAAGAAAACCAAAAACCATCCCACACACAATTTTTTTTAACTAGGTTAAAATAGCCAAATAACTAAAAAAATAAAGCTGAAAAAGCGCATCCCAAACAAGCACTATAGGCCACCTAAACATACACTTAAGGCATTTATTCTACCAAATCACTATGGTGTTGGGTTGGGTGGGAATGGTCCGGGGGTAGAGAAGGTAGTAAAGGAGCAGCAGAGATGGTGAGTGTGGCTAGAATGAGGGAGAGAGAGGTATAGAAGAGTCTAGGAGGGCAAGGGGTTGTGAGGAAAGGCGAAGGAAGTGGCAATAGTGCTAAAGGAGGGCAGAGGTAGGTTAGGTGGGGATGGTTTGCTACAAAATGCGCAGTTTGAACTTGCACTCCGCATATATAAGACTTGCGCCCTATACTCATTGAACTTGCAAATCACTAGTTTTATCAACAATGAAGGGTGAGGAAGTAGAGTCGCAACAAGCAAGGGTTTGAATGGTTCTGGTGGCTAGAGTTTTGATTGATTATGGTGTTAGGTGGGATGAGAAGGGCCTGGGGTAAAGAAGGATGGTTGGGGGGATGTGGGAGTGGCAAGAATCTATGGGGAAGGGTTTTGGAGTGGTAAAGAAGGGCATGGAAGGGTTTTGGAGTGGCAAGGAATGAAAGAGAAGGGATTTGAAATGGCGAAAGATAGTGGGAGATGGTGTTGGAAAAAATCTTATATGTACTGTGTATCAAACATATAAAAAATCGAACCAGATTCTAAAACTAATACAGAAACAAAAACTAAAAATAAATTTAATGAAACTGGAAAATAATTTAGAAAAAATCACAAATAGAATGTATAATTTTTGGAACAAAATAGTTTCATCGAGACTTGTGTTAGATACAATGTCCGTAAGACAAATTTCGCCCCTCACTTCGATACTCACAAGTTTGAATTAGTGTCTGTCTCCCAGGATATAACAATCAGAAGCCTCACAGAAGCAGCGCTTCAATTTGCAAGTCTGACGAATGTCACCGTAACGCCCCAAAAATATGAAAGCCTGAACTAACCAGTATACTCCTCAATTAATATTCATTTCTCATTAAATCATGTGAAAGCTACAATTAATCTCAATCATTCAATAACCAAACCATACTAAACCCAATATTCCATTCATATACTTTAAAACATAATTCCATAGCATGCTAATATTTAGAGAAGTCTAAACTAATACAAATTTTGTGCCTTAAAGACTACAAGTTTCCGGGTCTTAGCCCAATTACACCAAGTGTGGTCATAAGCCCAATACATCTAAGCCCTTATCTATACACAGAAATAAAATAGACAAAATCAGCCTTAAGCTCTCAAATCCTCCCAAGTCATCGCCTTGGCTGAGACACGCCATCAATAACTGAAAAGTTGTTTCCACATAGGGATAAGCAAAAAGCCCAGCAGAGATAAACTTAATGACATATATGATGTTTAACGATATCATGCAGTGAATGCATATGAAATGCCATGACAAAACATAAGTTTTCATTTTGAGAGATAATGCCATGCACCAGTTCCAAAACTGCAATTCAAAAGCTTTTCATTTTAATAGAAAACAAGGTAGTAAATATGACTATGGCAATCCCTAGGCTAGCATCTACAAGTAGTCCCAAAGAGCACGACTAATTCACTTTATCGGCTCTTAACCAGAAGCAACTTCAACCTACTCTACGCATGTTTTTGGAATTTCACTAAGGATATAAAGCAAAATTAACAACAACTACACCCCCTAACCAGATTCACCATGATACCTTTTTTTTCCCTAAAAAACAATGCAAATGTTCTCACCACAACCATTTTCAAGATATGAAAGTTTGAAGTTAACAAATCCATGATATGTACGATGGGATGCATGATTTGTAAACATTTCAATTGCCTAATTCACATGCAATATCTATCGCACAACAATGTTATCCTTCATCAATAACCAA